CCTGATGACTGCAGTTTTCAGGGCCTTTGGGAATATTCCAGAAACAAGGGACATGTTTACTATCTGTGTGAGTGAAGGTAACAGACTGCTCAGAACAGACTTCAGAAATCTAGTGGGTAGTACATCCAGGCTGCATGTGGAGGAGCTCAAACTGGAGATTATCTCTTGGACAGTTTTATCATTTACAGGTGCAAAGTAAGTTAGCTCAAAGAGCCTTTCTGGCTGTTGGATTGTTATCTGTGGATTGGAGACAATGGCGTTTTTGATGCCTTGAACCTTGTCATTGAAAAAATGTGCAAACTCATTGCATTTACGTTTGGAAGTAAGCTCTAATGGCATTTGAACAGGGGGGTTTGTTAATCTATTTACTGTTGAAAACAGAACACGCAGATTGTTGCTGCAGCCTTCAATCATTTCAGAAAAATACCTTTCTCTCGTGTGTATGTAATTCCTGTGTCTGCGTAGATTTCCTCCAGGTGCTCCGGTTTTCCCTACCACAAAAAAAACACATGCACAATAGGTCTGAATGTAATGAATGAGTGAATGGATGCTGTTGGTCTGGGGCATAGATGCGCCAGTGCGTCTTGCTTCTGTGATCATGGTGCGGAGAGAATGGAAATATATCTGTACTCTGAACATTGAAAAGCGCTTTGTGTGACCTTGGTCTGTAAAATGCGCTATATAAATAAACATTATCTATCTTTAATATTACCTTTTCTATTTACATGCTACTACAGGCTCATATGGTAACGTAATGTGTTACTTTAGATTGAATTACATTTTAAGTTACAGGCGTCACCTTTAATTACTTTTACAAAGATTAACATCCAAAATACAAATACTTGGACTATGATGTAAAAGAAAAGAGGAGAGAGAGGGCATTTGAGTCTGTAGTTGAGGCGTGGGGTGGATGTCAAGAGAACTATACCTGTGTGTCATAAGGTTTGTTCTGAGTGGTTTGCAGTTATTCAGTAGAATCTCGCTCAGAAAGTGTTGTTTCTTTGTCTCAAGGACATTTCTTGTGCAGAAAACTCCATCCGACTGTAAAGATCGACTGTGACTTATTCTCAGTGACGAAAAAGTTTCACCGGTATGTTCTCAGTGACCCTCTGAGTCAACTTACCACTATTGCAAATGAGTTCTTCTGGAAAATTCTTGGTCATAATCTTATAGACAGTCAAACAGAGATTCCTTGGATTATAGAAAAATAAACAGTTGAAATATATAAATCTAGAGTCAGCTAATCTAATTGCATTTAGTAACTTAGGGACTTTTCTGATGATAACTTTGTATTTTGTATTTATTTCATTTAAAAAACATACAACCTTACTGTGAACCAGCTCGCATTTCCACAAACACAACTCGCAGTGAGCTTTAAGTTTTTACCTGTTTTTGGGTGGGAAAACCGGAGTACCCGGGGGAAACCCATCCAACACCGCACAGAAAGGATCAAATCGGTAATTAGTTCTATATTGTATGATCAGGTGGTTGACCCTCCACAAGTTGGCTGTATAGTAAAGCTGCTATGCTTTTATTTACTTTTATAACAAACGGTGCTTCCATGAATCAAAGCAGAGGTCTCCAATCTGTGGCTCAGGAGCTACCCCTTGCAGATAGCTTCCCAAAGAATTGTTCAATTCTGGGGAGAGTAATAAAACTAAAGAGTAGCTCTCTGCCATCTCTATTACTCACAAGTAGCTCTCCAATTGAAACATGGAGACCCCTGATATTGCACTAGAATTATTTAATACTTGCTTCTTTAATATTCCAAAGATACTTTATATTTCATTCTTGCTTCTTCGTTATGCTATATTTAAGTTATTGTTAATTTATCTTGTGTTCATATACTCCTCATTCCTACCGTTCTGTAACCGGCGATGCAACACTGAATTTTCCCCACTGTGAGACGAATTAAGGATCCCTTAATCTTAAAGTCTTAAGATCCAGATGTCATATAACTTTGACTGAGATCATGCATTGACCACTGGCATGTGAATGAGAGGGGAAGAAACAGAGAGGGAGGAATAGTTGGACATGAAGTGCCCTGCTCCTGACTGGCACCTCTCTCTGCGCCATACTCTCCAATTAGCGCGTTGACGGATGCGCACGGAGCGAAGCGACCATCAATTACCGTCCCCGCGCCGCACCGCGTCCCCATCACTCTGTCCTCTGCCTTTGTCCCCGCCTAAACCACTTCCGAGCATTTTCCTCATAATTGAACATAACTTCTCCGGATCATCTTTTCTGTCTACTCAAAATTGGCTCTCCAGATTTTTTTTCCCCCCCTCGACATTCTGTGTGTGTGTGTGTGTCCTTCATTCCATCTTCCCATCACTAACATTGTGTGTGTGTGTGCGCATGTGTAGAAGTCTTTCACACAGTGACTAATGAGGGAGGGATAACCGCATCAGTTCAATGGCGACACAGGACAGGGCTCTTGACCACATCAGTCTCATAGTAGGTGGCATAAAACGTGTCATGTCCCGTCATTTGTCAGCTCGGGAGAGGAATATGAGCTAAATCAATAGTGTCTTCCCTCTGTGAGTGTACTTAAACACTGATGTCACTGCGGGTTTCAGGGTGGGTCTCTTGAGCGCGGTTTTGAACGGTGAAAGCGCGCCCCCTGCTGGTCAGAGCGTGCGTGAGAGACAGAGAAGCTCCGTTTGAGGCTGCTTATAAAAATATACACTCTCCCCTGACATTTAGGAACGGCCAGCTGTCTCCAAAGAGAATCTCAGCTAAGGTCAAATGCATGATTTGGACTATAAAGACGATAAGGGAGAGAACAATGGCCCCCGTTGTGTAATAATTAAAAGGTGTTACAACAAAAAGGATTAACATTTCATTTGTCCGCAGTTATAAGGCCCCTTAAATGTCCAAGGTTAGATTGAAGCCTTGAGTCTGTGATCACACAAACCACAAAAGCTCCGAGTGAATGCAGATTTGTGATGCACTCGCTGCTCGTAATCCTGATGAGGCATTTGCAGTTGTATTACTAATTTAATCACACGTTAATAGCATTATATACTGTGGTGAACAATAACACAAGCTGAGCCGAGGTATAAATGTTGATACTTGTCTAGGTTTAAGATGAGTATAAACATTTATTCATTGGGTCTTAAAGCTGGGGTACCTAATATTTTTTTGGCCATTCTAAACACAGATTATTGTAAAGGAAAAAATGAAAAAATCAGATCACAACATCCGGTCTTAAACATATTTATTCCTGAAACGTTTCGTGTTTTGCGTATTTGTTAAAAGTAAAACTAACGAGTTCCTTGCTCTCGAAACTGTTGCACGTGAGTTATGCAGATTAAAAAAAAAAAAAAAGTAGTAGTAAAATAGTTTCTGTTTTGTGGTTTCAAGGTTAGGTTCTCCAGCTTTCACTGTTGTTATTATTTGGTCTAACTCTCCTCAAGTCCCAAATGTTGACAAATTGCAAATAAATCGTATTGGGGATGCTTATATGGTGGCATGGGAGTCACTAATAGACAATATTTGGCTAGATTTGTACACTTTACCGTCCAAAAACAATGATCTAAAGATGTGGCAGAGGCCAAAAATACATGTATAGGACCACTAGTGATAGAACTAGCGCCAGGAACACCTCAGACGGATTTGACTACACAGTTCCATTCTCTGTGGTTTGAAAAAAGGTACCCCAGCTTTAAAAAACGAAACCAAGACACAGATCCATCACAGGTCAAGTATTTCAGCGTCCTTGAAGATTTTCACATAAAAGTTACAATAACTGCCCTTCAATCATTTTTCCATTAACAAGCTCGTCGTTCAATAAGTGTACCGCATATAAGTGATTTAATTGTGCTTTACTGCTGCGACGCAAGAATGATGTGGAGGATCAGAAATAAATCTGGTTTTGAGTGTTATTATGCTCGTAAAGTACAAAAAAACCCACCACACATTACTTACTTTTTTCCGATGTGTCATGGCACCATTCATTTATTAAAGTTATGCATAACCTTCCAACTTGATCATTGTACAGTATATGTTGAACTTCATGACATTATTAGAATATCAGGCGGTCGGATCAGCGGCTCCAACCGAGCTAAAAAAGCAGCTGCGTTTTTTGTCGGCGCAGATGTGCTCTCTCTTGGTTGTGCGACGGGGGAAGAATAGGTGACTGGCTGAGGACGCATGGCATACAGAGTGAAATAAGCATGAGAGCTGCTGGGCTGTTTCTGGATGTGTCCTCACAGGGAAAAGAAAAAGGACATTTACACGCAAAGGATGACAAGAGGAAATGACATAGGACCAGATCGGAGCCGACGGACTCTTCATTCTAGCGTATACCACGCCAAGAATTCATTACGGATCCTGGTGTCAAGCACAATTTATGGGTTTCGACTTGTTAAGGTTTTTTTTCACCAGTGTGTTTCTGGTCTCTTATCAGTCTCAATATATTCCTGCTATTTTTATCGGCGAGGCTAGCGTGCACAGAACACTCACACGATCCCATATGACTGCAGCGGGAAAAGCAGCCAGAATGCTAACACCATGGCCAAAGCATGCAAGCAGTATGGGACACACTTAAAAAATGAAAAAGAAAAAAATAAATACATCTTGGGATAAAAAAATCTTAATACATTATCTTAAAATTTCCTTTTCTTGTCTCGTGTTTCATATATATATTTTCTTAAACACACATCTTTGTACATTTTGGTATAAGTTCTCTTTCTTCAAAGGAGTTGAAAGGGTGCAGGGGGACATTGCAGAAGGGTAAGGTTTGAGACAGTCCCACTTCCCTGATTGCCTTGTGCTGAAGGAGCAAGATGCAGCATCTGAATGATGGTCCCTCTCTCCTCAATAGTTTCTGCTCTCACTGTCTCTCGTTCATCTCGTTCATTGTGGCGTCCGTGATGGAATCAAGGGGCTCCGCAGGGAGAGGACAAGCCAAAGATATGTCCATAAAGTCCAGGACATGTATGAAGCAGTAACGGACCAAGTTAAGATCTCCCCTTCGGGGCCAACTGGAACATGGACTATCTTTTATCTGCAAAACAAAAGTCAATCAGACATAGAATATGTTTCTTTATAGTGAAATTAACAAAATACCTTTGTTCCCATCTGTATCAGCTGTGGATCTTTGCTGTATAAGACCGTTATACTTTGTCTCAACCTCCTAAAAAAATATTGATAATTACAATAATAATAATAATACTACATTCTTGGTCAAACTAAATAAGAATTAAGTATTAAGAGGAGCAAGTATTACCTTTAGGTAGTTGAGGTTAGTCTGAAGATGTCTTAGGTGAGAGAGAACTTGTCTGCTAAAAGAAGAAAGGCTGCCAGCCTGGGACGTGGAAGAAAACCTTAGATTGATGCCAGAATCAGCGGTGCAACCCCGTAGTGGCTTCCCTGCAGTTGATGCCAAGAGTTCCTCGTCTGTGCTGCTTTCCCCTGGGCCAACGTAGCCTTCTAGGACCAAATATCCTGCTATGAGAATCACAAAAGACACTCGCTACTAAATGTGCAGGGACAGCTTCAGCTCTGCACAAAGCTCAGCAAGAAGTAAGAGTCACTCACCATAATCTTCAGGAGCGTCAAAGAAGCCAGTGTCTCCAGAGCCCAGGTCCTGGGCGGGGTCATCAGCGGTCTTCCTCTCGGCCCCATTGTGCACAATCCCACGAGCTCGACTGTCCACAGGGGTCCGCAGTGAGGTGGTCCTGAGGATACGGGCTCCCGACGAGCGCTTGGTTCTCTCGCAGGATTCCTGGGACATGAGCTGTGTCACCAACACCTGCTTTAAAGCAGCCACTGGAAGCAAGAGATTAGAAAGGTTAAGAATTAGTATAATGTGTTTTTTGTCTTTTTGTTCAATGTATTCACTGATATCCCCTCCAAGTACACAGATGAATAAAAAAGAAAAAAAAAAACGAATGAATGAAATTAAACATAATTCTGTACGATCTTACATGTTTTCAGTGCTTCATCAGCTTTTGAAGGAAAGGGATTAAAGAAGTCTCCTTCTCGACTTTCCTCCGACACTTGGAAATGTAGGTGCGTGTCCACAAAACCTTCCTCTGCTTTCACTTCTTCAAATGGATTATTCTCAGAGAATGAATTTTGAACCGAGCTTCTAGTCAATGTGCTGCTCTCTTTTTCTGAGAAAGGAGAGATGTAGGCATTAATACAACACATAATGAGTCAAACTGAAAGTGGACCAGAGCCGTTCAAAGCAGAGTTGAAGCGGTACCCGTGGACTGAGTGCTTCCCGTAGATGTGCGGTCTGCCTCTCTGCCGAGTCTGGAAACACCTGCTGCGATGATTTCCACGCCGTCGCGCTCTCCACTGGCACAAAGCAAAGAGATGATCAGAACCACGTGTTTACTCAGAGCAGAGCGGTGCAGCGGTCTCTTACTCTGACTGAGGTAACGGTATGATGTTATGAGGTGTGACTTTCATGGCGTCTGCTCTTTGGCTGATCAATCGCTGCCACCTTGAAAGAAAAACAAACGAGCTGTGAGTCGATAACACATTACACTGCAATATGAAATCTCAAATATTAATACAAAAAGATGTCAATTTACGTTCTCTGGTCGGAAACGGTAGGTGCCATCAGCTCATAAATCTGAGCTCCGTTGTCAGACATGGACAGGACAAAAAACGACTTGTTGTCTGGAAGAACACATGAGTTCTGTAAGTGGGATAATTACATTGAAGCATTATATCATGAAGCGTTGTGATCTGACCTGTGGCCACCGAGCGCACCAGCACAGTGTTGAGCTTGATGATGGGACTGAAGATGTGCTTAGTATCAGCGCTGCCAGCCAGGTTTTTACTGTGGCACTTGAGAATGAGGCGTTCATCTTGTTTTTGAAGCAAAACTAGGATGTCCTCCAGCAGAAGGGTGTACAGCTCTGCACAGCAACACAAATGTTAAACAGTGAGACATCTGGATCATTTCACTTTTGTTGTTGAATGAAATACAGCTTCAAACCTATTGTTTTGTCCTTGTTCACTTTCCAAGACAATGGTCCCTCGTGTACCAACATTTTCTTTGTAAGATCCAAGTTCTAAAAAGAAGAATAGAACTGGTAAATATACGTCACTTTAAAACTTTAAAATGTGCTTCACACGGCACACTGAAAGTAATCATACCCCATGAAATGTTTCAGATTTATTTCCATAAAAGTATTCTATTGTCATTTTCTGTGATAGACTGACACAAAGCTACTAACAATTGTAGATTTATTGTCTGGGTTTATTTCAGTAACTATAATCATATAATTTTGTGACAACCCATCAAAACATAGCTTTAAACCTGCTTCTAAATATGTTTGTTGAGATTCAGGATTCCCATTAAAATCAATCACAAAGATACTGGTCTATAAATGCATATTCCTACCCAAATGATTTTACATAGTATTTACCTTTAACAGGAATTTTTGACAAACGATAAACTCAAATATTGTACATCTCCATGACAACTATGATTACACAGTATTATCTTTTTCACTACATTTCCCACCTCTAGTAAAACAACTCACCTTTAGCTCCAGGATCATGGGGTTGTCAGTTTGCTTTAGCGAGGAGAGATCTAATCGTCTTTGGTAGTCCTCCAATCTCTGAGGAGAGGTAGAAAGTGGAAGTGCTTCATGAAATGATTGGTAGTGTTGGGATAATGGAAATAGAATAGAATTTGTAGTAAAAGATTTACCTGCTTGTCCTCAGATTCCTTTACAGCCTGGTTGACGTGATTGAGAATTTTTCTACAGCAATCTGCCGCCTGCTTCACTTTGTCCTTTTCCACAGGATTATCTGAAACACACAAATACATTCAGTAGAAAGAACCTTTTAACAATACTGTAGGACAGCCAGATAAAATGTAGCTTCTTTCTCAATTTGCCCTTCATTAGTTACAAAGATTAGAATAAAGCAGAGAAGCATTATGATCTTATAATAGCTGGCTATTCTTTATTCCCAGATCCTCCTCTCCACACCAGTCACAAGCCCAGTGAAGGCGAAATGATGGAAGTATAATAGTCTGGACATTTCTCAAAATGTGCATTACCACTTCTTCTTTTAAGCCATAATCGCTTAATAACTCACTATACATAGTTCCCACAGACCAATGAATGTCACATGACCTCCTCGGAGACGCCATCTTTGATGGCACGCTGCTGTGTTTGTGCATTCCATTAAACAGAAGAATGAGAATAAATGTAGATATTCAAACGCAAATTGGAAAAAAAGGGCAACTTTTGAGCAAATAATTGTATATTAATACAATGGCACCACAGTTTAACGTGCTACGGACATGTTTTACATATTTGATCAAATTATGCAGCAAAAATTAACAAGCAATGCAAACATTTCTCAAAAACTTTAGATTTAATACCAGTTGGAGCTCCATTTAATTATTTTAATTATATTAACAATGAATTTAATTAATGCTAATGCCACACGGACACTCTGGATTGCTGTTATTGTTTATTTCCGCGTTTTTGACCGTATGTTTTGGTGAATGGTGGGCAACTGATGTAAACATTGTTTTAGCCCACCATAGAACTATTATTATCTATTTAATACATTTACGTTGCCCTCGAGAGCCTCGGACGCGACACCGATCCTCCTCATAATAAAGTAATCTAACGCTAAATAATGAAACTCTCAAGTTACCAGCTATCAGCATACACGAGTTAGTACTGAGTAAATTACGTCTGTCAACACATTATGAGATACGATACGCACCTGACACAAAGTGCTCCGAGCATATTCTTGCGTGTTTTGAGGGAGTTTCTTGCCTGTTTATCTTCGCAAGCCATAACCTCCGTGGTTGTTCTGACAAAAGCTTAGTCTTCTCACATTCATGAAGTCTAATGATGGGTATACTGTAAAATCCAATTTTAACAGAACCTCCGGCACGATTTGAACATCCATTGACCCAGCAGGAGATGACCATTTTCAACTTTATCACGACATTAACACGTTTCAGCTTCTTTTTCTATTGTTTTGCCCACAGAATGCCAACACAAATGGCGCCGGGTCGGCAAATCCCCGTATGTAGTGACGTCATGTAGGAACTATGTATTAGCAGAAACGCTACATAAAGCATTGAAAACATCTTTACCCTTCAGACCAAACACATTTGACAAAACTGAAACACAAAAGTAAATTGATTGAACAATATCTGTTGATTTGCACAATTTTGTAGATAACAATATGGCAGATGGGGGAGTGCTTTTCCCTGAACTAGACGGGGCCCTAACCCACAGAAGAATCCAAAACATACACCTAAAAAAAAATCCACCTGGACCGAGCCAAGCATCAGTGTGGAGATCCTCTGAGGGTCCAATGTCACTGCAGCTGAAGCGTGTATGTGGCACAGTATAAGTCTACATGTGGACGGCTAAATGTGATCCCAAGGCCAACTCCGCCTTATTAGCGCAGTGGGCAGCGCGTCAGTCTCATAATCTGAAGGTCATGAGTTCGATCCTCACACAGGGCACTTTACCAAAACGGCATATCAAAAAGCCAACTCCGCCCCAGAATATTATATTTACTATGAATGAATCATCCTTTTGTACACTGTAGAAATAGTGCAGCCAGATGTAATAACTGCTTATCAGCTTCAGTGGTACTATAGAGCAGCAATGAGGAAACAGCCTTAAAACACTGGGAAGTGTTTCCAACAGCAGAGACAAAGAAGTTGTGTTGCAGCACCTATGTAATTAAGAACAAAGAGTTGTGTTGCAGCACCTGTGTACTTGGCGATGTTGTCGAGCAGCAGTGGGTACTTGGTGAGCCGCAGCATCTCCACAGGTATGATGTCTTTGAGCTGCAGCCGGCGACAAAGCCTGTTGCTCTCCGCCTCCTACAAACCAACACACAAAGGAGACCGTTTGTACTCACGGTAACGACACAACATCAAACTGAGGAGCGCGGACACGGCACCTGGATGAACGAGGTGAACCGAGAGTCCTTCTTCTGTCGACTCTTGATTATTTCTAAAGCGAATGGCTGGTTACTGCAGAAGGTCCCCACCGCTCTCTTGATCTTCTCTTCTTCTCCCCCACTAAACTGTATCCAAAAGAGGAAAAAAAACATATTTATCAGACATGTTTGTTTGAGTGCATATCATTTATCGTTATTATCATGCATTGTTAAATATAAGTCATCTGCTATGTACACTCTAATTCCCAATTTAAAATAAATTTAAAGAAATGAGTTGTTGTAACATTTGCCAGATTCATTTTGTATGTTTGTATACATGCAACATTGATGTATGTATGTATTTTCTCTCTCTTTCTTTTTATCTATTTCTGTCATTGTCTTTTATTAGTGTGTGTGTGTGTGTGTGACTACATAATTGACTTGCTAACACCTGAATGCAGCACATACTGTAAACTACCTTTCACAACAACAATAAAAATGAAATAATAAAGTCTGGTTTTTTGTGCATAGTCGAGGAACTCCAAAAAAGTGGTGGCAGAATGTATTTCCGAAACAAGATCGATACATTTGCAGGAGAATAAAAACAAAATAAAGAGGCCAAAGATTGATTCAAGTAAACACAGTGGCTTTTCTCATTTGTTGTCAAAAAAGCAGATGCAGGATTGAAACTATCTCAGGCTATTATTTTTTAGCACCGCGCAGCATATTTGGCAAAGTTCAATAACTTGGAGCACAATATATTGTTCTGCCCCATCAGTCATCTTGAAATCCATTCAATATAAGAAAATGCACGAGAGGGGAAATACAATTTTGGCCTGAAAATTGTACTCACCCAAGAGAGCAAGTCATCTCCTATCTGATCAATTACCGAAGACTCGTTTCTCTTCCGAACAGCCGCCATTTGCTCCAGTATCGAAGCTGAAATGTGAAAATGTATCACTGTAGAATCCCTTAACGGTCTTTTCCTTATATTGGTTCAAACCTGGCATATTTACAGTCATATTTTGAACGTGTCTATTTTATCATATCTTATTGACATGCACTGTCCCATTCGAACAAAACAAATAAAATAAATACATAGTAATGCATTATTTTGTTTCAGTAAATGTTTGAAAAAATATTCCGGTTGTACCATGCAACAGAAGAATTTCATCTAGATTGGTGAAGATGTTCTTGATGTCCGCAAGTGGGAGAATGGCCTCCTTGGTGAGTTTTTGGCAGAAAACATGGTCCAATACTTTCAGCATCCTCACGTGTGCACGCTCGGTTTGGAACAATTCTAAATAAAAAGCAGAGAAGAAAAAGAAAAAAAAAATGATGAAGATGATTGTTTTTTTTGAAAAGCCAGAAAAAAAAAAAAAAAAAACATGCACGAGTTTTTCTCACCATTGATAACTTCTTGTCTTTTGATTTCGTGCGGTCGCAGACCGGCCAGTACTTCCCGTCCCACGAGCTGCTGCCAGTTCAGAAGGTCATGTTCCGAGTCCGTGCCCTGGTCATCCTCACTCTGGACCTCGCCGAGTCCTTCCAGCCTGCAAGACAACAGTGACGATCATGACATGTTTTATCTATTTACACATTTATTCTGTACCATAGATTCTTACCTCCTTAGTGCTTTTGGAGTACCGTCCTGTAATCTAAAAGGATCAAAATATATCAACATTATATAAAAACATACATGTACAGACATACTGCGCAGAGGCTAACATTACATTTACTAAAACTAAATACCGGTCGCTTTCTCGGTCTTCTTCCTGCAGCTGGTCCAGGTTGTACAGGTCAAACTGTGCGGGAGGATAAGTCAGACCGTCCAGAGGGTCCGGCTGCAGTCCATCACTGAGCCTCGAGGGCCCGGAGGTTGGAGTACCACCTAGGAAAGTTTTTACTTCATTTAAAAGTGTTTGAGATTAACAGACCAGGACAGCTGTATCCAAACGTTCACCCAGAGACCTCCTAAAAAGAACTTGCAGCTTTTTTTCAGAGTAGAAGAGATGCAATAGAATAGGATCAATGTGACAGTTCTTTAAAACATAAGGGGGCTTTTTAAAATTCAGAAGACATGTTTGTTTTTAATGGAATTCACAATGGGCCCAGTCCTATTTCACTACTTCCATTACAATACCTATTGCTACATGTAATAGTTCATCTTTATTAAGGACACGGTATGGGGTCCATAAAATAAGTATGTAAAATACATACAATATATTGTATATTATTATGATTATGATAAAAGAAAATAAACAAGCCCATAGAGAATACGAGTTGGAATTGTTTCTTTCTCATCACTGCATTAGAAGCCATAAGAAAACATAAAAGCCTGGCTATGGTACATATTAAGAAGTTCTTTCAAAGCACAAATGCAAGAGTCTGTAGCGAAGAACAGATTTAAAAGAAAACGACTTTAATAAATACATGAAAGAGGATGGATATTTACTGGTAGCTCCAAGTCCATCCGCAGGTGCCCACTGCACTAGACCAAAGTTAAACTTACTTAAGTCTGTGTCTTTACTGGTGTCAGAAGCAGCACTTCCTGGAGACGAGGTTGTAGCAGAGTGCACAAGCTCAGAACCCTCGCTTGATTGGCTCACACGGAGGCGCCCCCCCTCTGTGTGCTCACTTGCCCCGAGCGTAGGCTGAGACAACTGCTTCTGAGGCTTGGGTCGACCGTCCAGAGCCTTCCCCACTGGGATCAGCAGCGACATGTGAGAGACATGGCTTATTACTGTTGCTTTAATGTTGGTTCATGCAGTGGTTAACTGACCTGAGTTTGGTTCGATGCGACTGGGCCGACGCTGTGGTCCAAGGATACTGGGGAATCTTTTCTTCACCTTCTCCTCTCCCTCCTTGTCAGGCTTAATACTTCTCTGTAGGATATCAATATAAAATGTTTCAATGAAAAGGAAATCATAAAAAACTTACATACACACAGGAGAAATTCTGACAATTAGAATATTTTTCCATTTATTTTTGTAATTCAACTAACAATGTGAAACCAATAAATGCATATTCATGACATGCAGTGAATAAGTCTTTGTTTGTTTGTATTTGTTATAATAATGAGAAAACCGTCCAATTTCCAAAATGTTTTATTTGGGGTTTAAAAAAAAAGGTTGTATATCTCACTTTGCGTGTAAATGAGTCCATCATATATTAGTTTCACATAAAAAGTTGGATTACAGAAGTACCGTGAATAGAATTTTGAAACAATATTCTAAGTTCCAGAGTTTCCCATGGACTCATTAAAACACCTGAAACAAACCGCTTACCTTAATTTTTGGTAGGAAATTGATCCGAACCCACTTGGATTCCAGGTTGCGGGGCTCCTTGACCCTCACACCAAGGTGCTTCATGTACGTATAGATAACATACTGCATTGTAGTGCTAAAGGCAAAACAAACACACACTGAGACTCTGCCGCGTAGGAAAGAAATCACAAGTGCCCATATTGAGTCTCGTGCCATATGTCATATTAGTCTTTTTCAGTTTCTCAAACCATCTGGGCGATATCGCAGCCATATGGCCTTTGAAAACAACACTATCTCAGTTTTAAATAATTGAACACAAACACAATGCATAAATTAACAAGGTTTGTAGGGGACACGTGTGGTCCAAGTGTTAATCAAAAACAACGGTGGGGATATTTCCTCATTATACTATGGCGTAATTACCTGACAAATGCACCATTCTGATTTAATAATACTCCGGAAGCTAATTACAAAAATGTGGAGATTATAAACGGAGGCCAAAGGAGCCATCAACACGCAGACAATGATACTTATATAAAATAACATAGCCTACCATTTCTCTTCCTCTGTATTTTGAGTGCTTAAACTGTAATCAAAAGAAGGGACGTGTGAGAAACAGAATTAAAATATACACAATTGAGTAATTGTACTTACAGGATGTCATCAATCTTTGCTACTATGTTTTCTGCATACGACCGCTCTCGCTCTTGAGTTACTCTGTCTCTGGTTCTCTCTTGGTCCAATCGAGACAATTCGCTTTCAGCCACCGTTAAACCCATGCTACGTTTTTGCCTGCGAATGGTGACATCGTTATTATTAAACTTCTCTTTGAAAAGGACAGTGAGAATCGATGATGTGCTACATTTGGATGTACCTGAAATCTTCCAGGTGCCGCTGAATGTCAGGGAGTAAAGACTCTTGTAATGTTTGTACATGTTGTCTGTTTATTTCCTCTGGGATCAGTTCTGTCCGCCTTCGGTCTACAGGAGCAAAAACATTCACTTATAGATTGCCCAAAGTATTTAAAAGATTATGGTAAGTGCTCGCTAAATGTGGGCCATTTGAGACTAAATACTTTCCAAACCACCGGAGCATATGATTTTTAAAACAGTTTAGTGCACGGCTGATTGAGATACTAACCTAAAGGGGATTAGGTACAGCAGAAGGGGAGGTGATGTTAATAATAATAATAATAATAAAACAGTTACCAAGATCAGAAGATATTGATTCTGGAACTGCAACTTTCAGATTCTGTAAAGAAGCGAACAAACTTGATGAGCTTCTGCTGTTAAAAAGGAAAGAAAAGAGTCGAGTGCGATGCTTACAGCTCCTCTGTCAATGAAAAAGTTGTGCAGGTCCATGAACACTCGTCTGGTCTCTTTGGAGTTGGTTTGCTTGTACAGGTCAGCGTAGAGGTAGCACAGCTGTGTAGACCGAAGCAACAGGCGTTATATGCGGTTTAGCACAATACACATGTTCTGAATGATTAGAAAAAGGATGCTTACAACAGGAGCTGGGTCAAACTGAGAAATTACATGGTGCAAAAAAGCGGCAAGGTGAGCAGGACATAACTTAAGCTGATCGATGCTATTAAAGTTGTTACACTGGCCATTTGTCTGTGAGAAAAGTATTGCATTGTTTAGATAATTGGGTTATGGGAATGAAAATAAAATTAATCTGTTTTACAGCTAATTTAAATATTTGTACCTGCTCGTGGTCTAATACAAAACAGCCGTCCTCAGCTCCAATTATCTGTGCGACAAGTCGAGCCGATGAAGGACTGCTGACTGCTGTTGGAGACACCGAGTCCTAAAAGACAACAGTGGATTGTAATTTCACTAGTTTGATTTGTTGAACAGTGAGAGTATAAATCTCACCAAATCAGTAGCGTCCTCTGCCTCGGGGGATTGGCAGGAGTTGAAGCTGTGGCGTGGCGTGCTCTGTGGGCTGGGACAGAAGGGATCCCTGGGACGCTGAGGTTCGGGAGACCCAGGGCCATATCCTCGGGCCTGAAAAGGAATTTGCTTCAATAACCACAAGGACACCGCGGCTACAATTTTCAACAGATTTATACGATTATAGTCTATAGTCTGTATAATAGGGAGGGAGCTAAGTGACCTGTGAGTGTTATGTCACTCATAGTGCTTGGATGGGGTTCTGACAAGCTCCATGGGAGAAAATGTGGTCTCATACTCTTTATCTTGCTATCAAATTCTTATGAGAGAATAATAGGAGAAAGTCAACTAAGCAACAGTCACCTCAGAGGGCTTTACAGAATTGTCTATTGACCAAAAACAGATTAGAGAATTGAACAATTGGTACACAGGAAATGCAACGGTCAGTTAATTTTCTGCTCATATATTGATTTAGAATATTTATTAGAATATATTGTATAGAGCTAAAACATATGAAGTCCAGAAAGAAGAGTCTGGCACAAATGGTTATGAAGGAGTTTTCTTTTGAATGAAAGTGAATGGGAGCATAAACGCACCCATGGTAGCCTCCCTGTATGGCTTTAGCAAGCTGACCGGTTAGCACCGCCCATCCACATCAAACAGACTACGGTCAGACGTTACACATTGAATATGTAAAGGCTTACAGGAGTGCTGCTCAAAGAGAGATCTGTGCCATGTTCTCCTTTTGCAATATGCTCCGTGTCCAACGTGCTCCTGTCGTCTGCTTCTCCACCAAAAGTGTCCTAAAGGATGTTCACAGGGCGGTAAGAAACAGATAAGGAATGCATTTCTCAAAATGTGAATCTATAATCATAAATCTATGACACAGACACAAAGAGGGGTTTTCCACAGCATGAGCCTAATCCTCTGAGGAAGATTAATGTTTGTCTGGGTCAAAGCCTTTGTCCTCGACAAAATCAGACGCTTCTGATATCAGTGATAGTGCAGTGTTTTCAACACTCGCTTACCTGTGATGCACCAGAGACTTTGAAGAGCTGGCCCTGCAGCTGAGGAATGTGTTTTTTAGCTTCATGGATATCTTTCAGTAGTTTAGGGGAGGGATTCCTGTTGTACTCTTCTTTCATTGCCTATGTGAACAATTATATTGTAAATTATAATTATGAAAATGAACACAGTTGATTAAATGTGTTCATGGGAACTGTAAATGTAAATGCACTCACCTGCAGTTCTTGGTGCTCTTTAGAAAGCATTCGTGGCAGCAAGTCACATCTCTGGTTTAATGGACTGCTATTTTCATCCTGTGATGAATTAAATATTGTGAATAATATTAAAAAAAATGGTAATCATATGATGAGTGAGGCAAAGAGTACCCATTGAAGGTGTGAGGATGAGAGGCGGTCTTGAGGGCTGTAGGGTCGGTCGGTTGCTGGAGAGCTTGGAGAGGAAATACTAATACCCAGCATATTCGACTCAGCCTCAGACAGAGGAATCTGAGTGAGCCCCGGAGGGCGCCCCAATACTGTGAGGGCCACATATGAGCCCGCTGCAAAAACAACATGTCAATTTACTAAGTTCATTTATATGCAGTATTGTAAAAATGATAGTAGTTCTTACATTTGATAAGTTTTACTACTTCAATATGATTAGAATGTGTAACAAGGGTCCCATTGACCTACAAAACAAAAACATGTGTGATTATTCATTTTTAATTAGAAGGCCCAGAGTGTGAAGGCCCAGTCTGGTCAATAGAGGGCAGTATATAGCCTTAGAATGATCTTAAGCTGCATGAACAGGAATACCTTAATGATTCGGTCTCCTGTCTGTACACCTGCCCGCATAGCAGCCCCATCTGGCAAAATATCAATACAAACAAACCTTTAAATTACATAATTGGCAAGGGAAATAAATGGGATAAATGGACCATCAGGGGAAAACACCAAACTCAAAGGCGAAGTTCAGCAAGTATGATTTTTCACACAACAGAACATTGTCTGACACACCAGATGTTGCAAAATGACTATTAGAGTAGTTTGAAAAAGCCATAACAGTGGTTATATTACGAGAAGGACCTGTTTCACAGCTCCACCCCAAACAAAAGGATTTAGGCTGTAGACAGGTTATTATAGGATCCCAGTCTACATGAAGTCTGCAGTCAAAAGCAGCACACTCAGAGACCTATATTACCATTGGTGCCAGTTATGTGGTAAAAGTAGAGGAACTTTAAATTAAATCAATACGCATTATGACATTTGTCTATGAGAAACTGGAGCAACATTTAAAAAAATAATAAAGAATGCAATGTAAAATACTGACAGCAACCCCATCTTACCTTCCTTGACGAGTTGCACAAACACTGGATTGTCACCACTGACTGTGAGCCCAAAGCCATTTTCATCTTTCTGAATGATCACACATCGTTGGACTAAACCTGAAATGAAGACAAAACTATATTTAACGGACTGCTCTTGTTAAACAAGACTGCAATGTTGTTGTTATATAATAATTCATGTTAAATGCCTCATTTAACTAAAAACTGGGACATTAAACCTTTTCCCCTGATTTGATGTTTTGAGAACCAGCCCAACGAAGCATAGCCTGAGTGGACCTGATGTTACTCTGATGTTGTTTTTTGACTTAGTGCATTGTCCACCGGAGGTGAGTGGATCAATCAGCCAGGGCAGAGGCGGAAGGGGGGAGTGAAGACCAGGAGTCTTATGCAGAAGGTTTACAAGGGGAGGGGATGTGGGGAAAAAGCTGGTGGGACGGGGGAGGGGAGCCGGTAGAGAATTGGGGCGTCGGGGTGACAGATGAAGCCACATGGGTTCATAAAGTAGTGTTAGGCCTGTTGTAGAATCCGGAGGAGGGCAGGCAATAAAACCATGACGAGCAGGCCCAGATCAGGTTAACCGTTAATTCATAATCTAAGATAATGGACAATTCAGAGGTTTCAAGGATCCATAAGAAGACCCCCATGTAGTTTTGGACTGGGAACTACAAATACAAGGAGCTCATCCATCTTTTTCAATAATCAATTAATCCTAATTTGAATGCAGCTTTCTATTTCAGATTAGCAGTGAAGCTAAAGCATTAATAATTTTCCAAACAGTGAGTAGAATGTAATTTGTGTCCTCTATTCTCAGCAGGTGAAAACAACGGTCTGCCCACGAGTGTGTGAGGCAATGTCTCAGGTTGCACCACATTATTTTTGTTCCACCATCAGCTTTTAGGCTCAATATAAACAATGATGTATGAAGCACCCAGTGATGCCCATATTATACAATCTGACTGCAGAGGAATGTATTCCACAGTTTATACAAAATATGCTTACAGTAAACTGAAGGAGAGATGACAATAAACTTGGCACAAAAATCACCAAGCATTATAAAGCTGCCCAAACAACATCGGATACAGAAGTTTTAAATACAACGAAAAAACAGGTGAAATTTAGAAATTCTAAAAAGGTCCATTTACTTTTGTAATTCAACTTACAATGTGAAACTAGAACATGACACACTCATTACACAAAGTTATATCTATTTATTTCTTATAATGTTGATAATTAAGTCTAACAGCTTGTAAAAAAACCCCAATAAAACATTATACATTTATTATACGCCATAATCATCAAAATGATAAGAAACAAAAGCTTGGCCTACGTCCGGTTGCATGTAATGAGTCAATTTATAATGTATTGGTTTCACATTTTAAGTTGAATTAATGGAGTTTATTAATTTATTCTAAATTTCTGAGTTTCACCTGTATGTTTGAGAAACTCCAGGAATCTAAATCCAAGAATATAAAAGGAGCTAATGACAAGCTTTTTACACAGCCAGACTTTCAGTCAAACTAGAAAAAGGTGTGGAGGTGCTCAGCGGGTTAATAAAGGCAAGAATTAGATTTATAAAATGTTCTTTATGTGCTTAAAGAACATGTAAAAGGTGCAGATGTCACAGCAACCTTTTCTTACCACAGGACTCAGGCTTCCCCTCTGCTAGCACACTGCTGCTGCCAATCTTCTGCACCACCAGAGCGTCTGCTGAGCGCCCCCCACCACGAAGACCCCGAGCGCAGACAACACGGAAGCAGACGCACCCACACACGCAACGACACAAACCAATGGAAAGAAACACACAGGACAGGAGAGAGAAATCATAAGGAAAAAACAATTATGGGAAAAGAAAATTAAATCAACAAATAGATTTCTAAAACAGTTTTGACAGGCAGGAGCGCGGCCTCAGGAGTGGAAGAGTCACCTCCACTCCTGTAGGTGTCACTCATCCACTCGGACTTAATGAATTTGCTTTGAGAAAACAATGGTAAACGTTGATGGTTTAAGTTGTGGGAAAATAGGAACAAAGCAGTAACAATTACAAGAGTGAAATGCAAATTATTGGGAGAAAAAAAGCAAAAGATATCATGCAAAGCAACACACATAAAGCTGTACATGCAGGAAGTGGCACGAAGAAATAAGATGAAGAAATGGATTTGAAAGGTGCTTTTCACACCTGCACTCGTCAGGGTAAACTGTCGACTCTATAGTTAAGGTAGAAACTACTGGTTGCTCTTCCTGCATTTACATTTTAATTAAAAATACCCCGTCAGAAGCTTTTACAAGCACACAACACAGCACAGTCCAGCACAGGAGATTTTCAGTTGTTTTGAAGACAAAAGCTTAGATCTTGCTTTAATCTCAAGCAGCAGGATGTGTTGACACGACACTGGCCGGCTGAGCAGTGCCAGTGTTATAACGCAGGTACAAAATCTAACTGGATTCATGACCTATGTAGTACACAGTATCAACTTTTCCTCTGCATTATGAGGGAAATAATTGTATTTTAGGAGCTAATAGGCACACAGTTAGAAAGCGTCAGTCCAGAGAGAACAAAAGTGAGAGACGCAAGAGCCAAGTACCGTACCTGTAGGGTCAAAGTCATTACTGGACAGAGGGGCTTTGTCACTTTTTGGTTTCTTGTCGGGAGGAGGGTCCTTTGAGAGAATGCTGCTGGTTCTAGATGAAAACAAAACAAACACACATCAGGACCTTGAAGAAAACAGCATAAAGAAATATTATGCTTTATTCATTCATTCATAAAAAATGCTAATGGGACAATTCACTTTAGTATCCTGAAGGTATTTATGGAGATTTATTTAATTTCATCTGCGAGATTGCTAAAACTAATTTATGGACAATATTTTTGTATAAAAAGTCTGTACTCCAAGTGTGATGAAATTGTGAAACAATTCAATTAATTGTTATCCAGTGTAATACAAAATACAAGAGCAGTCGTCAATTGTCAATTTACCAAAGACATCAAACACGTGAGACAGGAGCTTTTAGACAGAAGGAGTGAAACGCTTGTATCAGAAGTTCCTCTTTTTAAACTGGATAGATCTAAAACAATTCCAGGTCTCTCTTGGATGAGGGAACAATGCAGTGACATGGTTAAAAGTAGATTTTGCGTATCTAAGGCATTTAGATTAATGTTACATTTACTTTAGAAACAGACAGTGAACAGAAGGCTGTCGTCTGAAAGCTCTTATGAAAGTATGAATGAAGGGGGTGGTCTGTCCGTCAGAGGATATGGAGGGGCTTCCCTAGTGTCCCAAGAGCGTGGGCAGTGAATGGACACTAGTGAGAGGAGTGTGATAGAGGCGTGAACCTCCAACTCAGCTCTGTGTGCTGTGGCTGCCGCTGCTGAAACAGGCCCCAAAGTGAGAGTAAGTAAGTAAGTAAGTAAGTAAGCTTTATTTATATACCGCCTTTCACAGACCAGAGTCACAAAGCGGTTTACAATTGTTATTTTTTGGGCACTTGTCCTCTCACTCCACACCACAGAGAGAGAGCGCACTTGTGTTCACAGTGAAAGGCCATGATGGGCTGTCTTTAGAAGAGGGAACCCTTTGTCCCCCAGCAAGTGTGTACCCATGTATGTGTGTACGTATGTGTGTGTACGTGTATGTCTGTGTGTGTGTGCGTGGACGTGTCTGGTGCAGACTCTGAGGACTGTTGTGTGCATTGCAGGTCAATGCTGCTGAAAAATTACCTCATCAGGAACAAATAATGCAAGCAGAGAAATAGGTGAGTGTGCTGGGTCTGGGAGCATGCACTTCTGTCAGAGGTCAGTGAGAACAATAACAAGTTAGAGTCTTACCGGTTTGCTTTCTTGGGAGGCCTAAAGAGAGTGAAAACAGTAATTAGTTTAAATAAAATGATAGAGAGAATATTACGGCCATAATGTAAACATATGTTTCAAGCTGAAACATGGCGCACATGTCTCGGCAGCTACGTTTCTTTCAATTGTATTGTCAAATAAAGATTAAGACAGTGGAGTTGAGAGAGTTCTCTGTCACACACAGTGATAGACATGATAATCCTGATCAAACATCCGACTCCTTCAGATTAAAGTCTTTTCGGGTCAAATACCCCCCACTTGCAAGACCTCAGCTGTCGGCGCATGTGTGCCTTGATCTCAGCCAGGCATGGAGCAAGTGGCCTGTAATAATCATATCCAGAACATCCTTCCTGGTTTCCTCCTGTCATTCTTCGAGATCCTCTGTCAGAAAAACATTTTACATTTCTACTCTGTGTTCTGTCTGATGGTGTGTATACTAAATTTTGTTCCATTTCCTGCAACGCTTTATTGACCTATCACTCATAACGTCTATTTTATCTTCCAGATAATTCTCAAATAGGGCATATGATGTTCTGCACAAATTGACTTGGGCCAATTGGTTTCACAAAGAGTATTTTTTAAAAGCTTGTATTTACGTGGCTATCCAACTGACAAATACAAACATAATCCCTGTGGGCTGACTTTCACAGATTAGTTGAATAATATGATTATTGTGTCAATGTTTATAGCATCACAAAGACTATAACAACAGATGTGATTAAAACCTTCTGCAACAACACGGCAATAGCCAAAAACAAAGCCAAGATCAAAAAGAGAATTTTTCTACCTAAAAGTTGTTACAAATAGTTATAATTGTATTAATGCTTTTTCTTTTTAAGGTGACAACATTAATATGAAGGTCTACATTTCATTTGTGTCTTTATGACAATAAAGACATTGAAAAGGGAAGTGCTCTGTTGTACTTAAAGTCAGACAACAAAGTATAAGTTAAAAGATGACGAAGAATGGAAATGCATGACATTAATATATTCATATATTTCTCTTACTTGCACACTTATCTCTAACTGGCTGTTCTCCATGCGATAACTGGACAACACATTGCGGCCATTGGCTGTCCTTAGTGGGGAGGTCTCACGACTTAGCTAGCCCACATTAACTCTCTTTCTCCCGGCGACAGTGAGTTCCATTCAGAGCTGAGCGAGCCCAGCTGAAAGGCCCGTTTATAGAAATGCTGCCACTGACTGTAATAAGTTCCAGCGGCAGAAAAAGGGGGGGTGCATTTGAAGTAGCTCACTCCCTCAAAACCCTGAATTGAGACAGACGGAAAATATATGAAATGAACATGCAACATTGAACTACAACACGGGTAGAGTTGACCTGAGAGAGGTAAAAATGAACAATGACAGGGTGTTCTCTGGGAGTGACTTAAAGACCTTACGACGGGTTTTTTTTTTTTTTAAATAGTGGATATCAAAATTGCATGACAATGTCAATTTGAAAGAGATTCCGGCAAAAAAAAAATCCTATATTTTATAAAAAGAACGTGTTTTTCATTAATTTAAGTTGTCTATGCTCTAACCTGTGTGTGACGTCATAGCGCAGGGGTGGCCAACCCGCGGCTCGTGAGCCGCATGCGGCTCTTTGGCTGGTTCCGTGCGGCTCTCGGGCTTTCACACGACAAGCGTCAAAAACGCCTCGGTGGTGGCGCTGCCATTCATTCTCTATGTCAGTGTCTCCCAAAGTGGGGTCCGCGGCCCCCTGGTGGGCCGCGAGGGTACTGCAGGGGGGCCGCGGGAGGTCATAAAAAAAATAAAAAAAATAATATAATTATTTAATGTTAAATTTATAATGTTTTGTTTGTAATATTAAAATATTTGTGTTCATTATTTGACATCAATAATCCACTGTAATCATTTTTGTATTACAATGTTTGTAGCAGAGGCTATTTCCCCAAAATAAAATAACCAGAAGAGCCTATTCTTAATGTTGTCTTCTTGGTTATTATTTTGGGGGGCCACGCAGACCCGTCAGATTTTTAAGGGGGCCTCGGTGTTACTGAGTTTGGGAATGGCTGCTCTATGTAGTTCTGACCCATAGTAAAGGCCGACTTCACTCCACTAGCCAGGCCACCAAAACAATCTGACGTCGGCGAACGTCAATTCTGATTGGTCAGATGCGCTGTCAACCACTCTGCAGCCGCTGCCTCAGCTGTTAAATATCATAACAAACAACACGTTGCCTCGACCCATGGCGTCCGTACGGAAAACAGTTCCTTGGTCGCTGGATGAGGGCAACTCCTTCCTCAGTTTGAGGAGAGGACACCAGCGTGAGCTCGATGGTTCCACCAGAAACCAGAAGGTGTTTGTGGAGCTAGCGCTAAGGACGGAGCAGAATGATTCCCACAAACATGACAATGCAGAGAAAAGTTAAAAAGCTTAAAAGTGACAACCGTGAAATGAAAGATCGCAGCAGCAGAAGTAGAGGCAGACCCGAAAAGTCTGGAGGTGGTTTGACCAAATGGATTACATTTACGGACATCGGCTAACACCGGCTAACATGCTAAAACCAGCTAACACCAGCTAGCGTTACACCAGGAGAAAAGCCAACTCTGCCTGGTGAGTGTCTGTCTTCAATCAAATGCAAAAGTATCTGGTCTTATACTGAGCATGTGTCTGTGGTTCTAAATCAGCTAAAGTGGTGTTGGTGTTATGTGTCAAATTTATATCTTTTACTAAATACAGTCAGAGAGTGAATCATGGTTCGATAAAGACAGTTGTGTTTCTGCTGAATACTGGGTTGAAACTTGATTTTTTTTTCTTGGTTAGAGATTGAAAGCATTCATTTCGGAATCATAATTGATGTTCGCTGACGTGCAATTGTTCTGGTATCGACTCGCCCGGTTAGAACCAGGGCCGAACCATCAATAAAAAGTACCGGGGAGCGGCTAAAGCGAGCGTTAGAAGTGCCCGTAAACCAGGGAGAGTCGAGTCCAGCCCTTTAGTGCTGTACGAGTCAATTTCTGTCATTATCATGTTGATGACATTTACATCTATCTGAGCAGAGCACACCTCTCTCTGCTCAGACAGGTTGCATGTGTGTGCGTGTCTCTGCTCGTGTGCGTACGTGCGCGTGTGTGTGCGTGTGTAAGGGTTGGGGTGATGTTTATGTAGCGCACATTTGTATGATGTGGCTCTTTGCTGTAACAAAGTAAAAAAAATGGCTCTTAGTCTCTGACTGGTTGGCCACCCCTGTCATAGCGGGTTACGCCCATGCATTGAAAACCATGGATCTATGCCACAGGACTGCCTTTTCTCTCTTCTCTCCACTGATGCCCAACACAATACTGCACTCTACAGGTGACAATTGCTCACTACACATAAATTGCCGTTTTGAGTGTGAAAAGGTGTCCAAGGTAGGAATTGAACCCAAGTATCTGGATTGGCAGTCCATCGACACAACCACTGGACTACCTCAGTGACAACGAAATGTTACATTCTAGTAGTTATCTTACACTGTACACGGCCTTGTCATCTTGAATATCCGCGAAAAAAGAACGAATACCAAATTGTAAACAACTTACAGCGTTGAAACGTACCCGTTCTGACGTCACCAAGGGCTGTGAAGTTTTTTCGTTTCTAAGGGCGTTGCTATGGGGTTATTTCGATTTGGGGGGATCAGACAAAAAAAACAACAACTGATTTTGAAACCTTTAGTAGTTCTCTTCTAATATAAAATGGTATTAAAACTGTATTTCTAAATAAATCAAACCCGTCATAAGGTCTTTAAGAGACATGAAAGCATGACTGGAGAGAAGACATCACAACTTGAAACAACACGGCAACGCGAGAGCGGCCTGTGACTGGACAGAAAATAACTCAAAGAAAACCACTGAATTTTCTAGAAGTGTCAACAATGTTTAAGCTACTTGTTTCACACCTTATTGTTTGAACACATTTTTCTTGTTCCACTCTATTTAATAATTTTAGTCTGTTAAAAGCCACCAGTGATCAATAATCTAATCTTAGAAACATTACTGATCAACAACAAATAATTACTGTGTTCCAGGTTGATCACTCTTACAGCAATCTGTCTCAATTCAAACAAAGCCGGGAGATAATGGCATGACTATTTATTCAAGTATTCTATTGATTATTACCATATTATAAACGAGTCATCAATCTACTAGTCAAACTATTGAAAAAGTCAGAGCTGCACCCAGTACACATAACACCAGCTATGTGTACTGGGTTTACTTCTGTAATTAAACTTAAATTGTGAAACTAATATTTCATCATCTCGGCATGTGTCATTTTGAAAGTAAGGTGTCGATATTCCATATTGGTTTCACATTTTAACTTGAATTATAGAAATAAATTAACTTTTGAACAAAATTATAATTTTCACCTATACTTTTGTAGCTGAACTTATTGATACAGTCATTGATCTAAACAAACTCATCAGACAGTGGATTAGTCTGACAAACGCAGGTCAGTTTTACAATAGTGAAGAATAACGTGTAGTACAGATCAGCGACCACTTCCTGGCTGAGGTCTGTTCTTAGGAGGGAAAGAGAAAAGGAGCGACGGCAGAGTCAGAAGGGTGGGATAAGTTGGGAGGGAAGGGCAGCACTAAAGCGAGCCTGGGCTTGAATGCTCCATTGAGGTTTGGTGTTTTGATGGAAAACTGTGGCAGAGCTGAGCCAACTGCAGCAGGGGCAAGACGAGAGGCAAAGAAAACCAGGCCTTGAGAGAACACTTTTCCTAGTCAAGGCAAATCAAGATCCACTTATCGTCTATCTGAACAGACAAGAATTGCTGGGACAAGCGATCAGACAGGACTTGTAGGAAGCACTTTTATTCGCGGTTCCTCTTAAATAACCTCTTCAAAATTTAAAAGTCAAACGTGCCTGACATAACACAAAGAAAGAGTGTATTCTGTAGATCTAATTACATAACAAGGACAGCTAATCTGCGGTGTTGTAGGCCAGGCAGGGAACTAGTGCTCCCTGAGAGTGAGAGGTGGGGCCTGTCTGAAAAGAA